ACTAGAGAGGCTGAGGAAGGAGAATTATGAATTCCAGGCCAGGTTACGCCATGTATTAAGAGTCCCCCCACCATCTCAAAAAATCTGTTGGTAATTTCACCTATTTATTTATTTATTTATTTATTTATTTATTTATTTTGGGATTGGGGGTTGAACTCAGGATTTCCTGCTTGCAAAGCAGGTACTCTACTGCTTGAGCCACACCTCCAGTTCATTTTACTCTGGTTATTTTTGAAATGAGGTCTTATAAACTATTTGCCCAGGCTAGCCTCAAACCAAGATCCTCCCAATCTCGGCCTTCCAAGTATCTACAATTACAAGGATGAGCCACTAGCACCCAGCAACCTGTTTTATTTTCTTAAACTCTTCAGTGACTTCAGAATGAGTAATAAAAATAATAATAGAAGGATCAATACCGGTTCACTAACTGTAACAGATGCATCATGTATCCTCCAGTGAAATATATTAAAACAGGGCAAACTGGATGTGGAGTTAATGGGAGCTCCTGTACTAGTTTTACATTTTATTTTGTAAAAAAAAAAAAAAAGTATTCTAAAACCTAAAATTTTAAAAAATATAAATCACTAGCAATAAGAACTACCTTATTTACATATGTCTTCAGGAAAAGAAAGCCATAAAAACTTGGAGCTCTTTCCCAGAAAATTGGATCTTCATTTGCTTCAAAGGCTAAAACTAGAATGTTGTCTGTCAACTAACTGAAAATGGGAAAACACTATGGGAATTGTGAGAGGATAAAACATTTAAGAAACAACTTTCTTTAACTTAGAGAGACTGAGATCAGAATATAAAAGTTCATACAAAGCTATGAAATTCTTGGGCTGGGATGTAGCTCAGTGGTACAGCGCTTGCCTAGCATGCACAAGGCCCTGGGTTCAATCCCAGAACCAAAAAAGAAAAGACAAAAAAAAAACAAAAAAAAAAAACTATGAAACTCTTTCATCTACAAAAAGCATCTCTTTGCAGAAGCAGCTTGTTTTAAGAACAAGTGACACATCTTTACTACTTTTTCCTTAACAGGCCCTGGGTTTAATCCCTGGTACTGACAAAAAATAAATGAACAAAATTTTTAAAAAAAATCAACTCTGTGGCAAAGTACACAGCTAAATAGAGCCTCAATTAGGGTTTATTAAGCATGTCTTTCATTTATACCTTCCCCCTTTTCCAAGGTATGGACATTTGTCATTAGTTTTAGCTTCTGAGTGATATATGCACAGAAAAAACCTTATTAACAGGACCCTGAATTTTAAGTTATAATCAAATTATAACACTAATATTTCTAGTGCTTCATTAGAAGAATCAGGTCATTTGCACTGGAGGCAAGAGTGACACAAATCAAAGTAGTATAAGCTTTTTAGGTGACCCAAAGGAAAATGCTGGCTCTTGGGATGTACAATGTTGATTTAGAAGAGTTAACACATACCAGTCCCAGTGGCTCACACCTGCAATCATAGCTATTTGAGAGGCTAAGATCAGGAGTATCAAGGTTGAGGCCAGCCTGAGGAAACAGTTCAAGAAACTGTACCTCCAAAATGACCAGAGCAAAATACATTGAAGGTATGGCTCAAGCAGAAGAGCGACTGCTTTGCAAGCATGAAGCCCTGAGTTCAAACCCCAGTCCCACTTACACACACATAATATCATTATCAATCAATAGAAACAAAACTTTACTTAAGTCTATTTCTTTTTCTTTTTTTGGTGATGCTATGTTTTGTTTTTTTGGGGTTTTTTGTTTTTTGTTTTGGTGGTACTAGGGTTTGAACTCAGGGCCTCCATACTTGCTAGGTAGGTGCTCTACCACTTGAGCCACCTCACCAGCCTGATGATGCTAGGGTTTGAACTCAGGGACTCATGCTTTCTAGGCAAGCATTCTACCACTTGAGCCACAAACCCCAGCGCATAGTGAAATCTATTTTAAATCAAATTACTAAAAGTAAATGAGTCAGAGAATATAACACACCAGAGACACTGAATTCCAACCACCCATTACGTAACTCATGAGTTTAGGGTTTGGAATACAAGTTCCAACTGAAGGTACCCAACACAAGTGCAGACAAAAGAAAACAAAAGAAGCTGGAATTGAGAATGAAAGTATTTCCTAGGAGAACTTTGTTTGGTGATGCTGCTGGTAATCAAACCCCGGACCTTGCACATGGCAGGCAAGCACTCTACCAGCCAGGTTTTCTGTTTTTGAATGTCCCTCTCCAGTATCAATCTGTTATAATTATCTTTACCTTTCTCTGCATTGTCCCCTCCCCCCTCCTCTCTCTCTCTCTCTCTCTCTCTCTCTCTCTCTTCCTTTTTTCTTATCCTCTAGATAGAAGGTTTGCTGCCTCAAATCTTTTCTGGGAAGTTGCTAGTGAGCAAAGTAGACACAGTGGACAAAGTAGAAACTTTTTAAACATAAAATCCAAGACCACAAAAAGATATACTTAATAAAATGAATTGTTAACAGTTCATGATTAAGATACAAATCAAGGGCAGGAGCTATTACAGGGACTAAGAAAGCTAGGTTTCAAATTCTAAGAATTAAACAGGCAAAATGAACATTTTATTTTTTATTTTTTTATTTATGGTACTGGGGCTTGAACTCAGGGCTTACACCTTGAGCCACTCCACCAGCCCTTTTTCGTGATGGTTTTTTTGAGATAGGGTCTCACAAGTTGTTTGCTCTAGCTGGCTTCAAGCCATGATCCTCTTCATCTGTGCCTCCTGAGTAGCTAGGATTATAGGCATGAGCCACTAGTATCTATCTATCTATCTATCTATCTATCTATCTATCTATCTATCTATCTATCTTTGTGGTGCTGGGGATTGAACCCAGGGCTTTGAGCATGATAGGCTAGCACTTTACCCTCAAATCATTTTTTAAAAAGGCTTACTAATTCAAAGGCAATTGTAAGAGTAACAAATCTGACTATATTTTCTCCTCTTTCCCCTTTTCTTCCTTCCTTTTTTTTTTTTTTTTTTTTAAATTTTTTTTTTGGTGGGTGGTGGTGGTGGTGGTGCTGGTGATGGAACCCAGGGAGTCATGCACGCTAGGCAAGCAAACAGCACCACTGAGCTAGCCCTCACTTTTTTTTTTCTCTTCTCCCAAAAGTCTCTTTGAAAGTAAAATTTCAGTTTAAAATTCCAGACTCCTTATTCTAGAGGTATTTTCAAAGGGCACTAAGAGAACCACCATGATGAAGAGGTCATTTACACCTCAGAGTTTTAAAGCTGTGTTTTACCACCATCTTCCATGATTGGCCTAGAAGTACTCTGTTAGTGGCAGAATTAGGGTTCAGATCTGCTAACTCTCATTCCCATAAAATTTCCAACTATTTATTTCTCCACAAACATGTGCAAAGCTTTCAGCACCTGTTAGGCACTATTGCAGGTGCTTGGGGTACATCAGCAAATAAAAGATAAACATCCCCACTCTTGGAGAGTTGATTCACACTGGGATATATACATCAAGTATAAAGCTTGATGATAAAAGTATTACTGCATTTTTATAGACGGTCCTTTCTCCTGTGTTTGTATATTTTTAAGTACTTCTCTCCTAACTCACAGTATCTCCTATGTAAGTTAGTCATCTCTTTTATCAAATGCCACACTGGGGATCCCAAGCTTTAAAATAGGCAAGCTCTCCAAGAAGCCTCTCATAGAGTTAACACCTTCTCAGGCTTGAAACTTCATTTAATTCCTTTTCCTTAAAATCAATGAGTGGGGGATTTTCTCTTGAGAGGCATCATGGTCACAAACGTACCAAAAGAAACCGACACTTTCAACACCATTCTTGTGCACACCCAATCGTTCATGGACCTTGGCTCTATTCCCTGTCTTCTCCCACCAACTATACTAGGGTTACTTCTTTTATAATCCTGTACTTCACCCATCAAAAGCCTGCCCTCAATATTCCACTGGCAGCACAAACATCCTTCCGCATCTCTTCCCCTCCCAACCCCCAATTTCTCAGTAGCCACTTATTTATTTATTTTTGCGGTATTGGGGTTTGAACTCAGGGCCTTCATCTTAAGCCACTCCGTCTGCCCTTTTCGTGATGTCCTTTTTCAAGATAGGATCTCGCGCTCTACTTGCCGGGGCTGGCTTTGAACCGCGATCCTCCTGATCTCTGCCTCCTGAGTAGCTAGGCTTACAGGCCGTGATCCATCAGCGCCCGGCTCAGTAGTGACTTTTTACGGAAATAAAAAGTTTGTCCCACATTTCTTTCCTGACAGGCTCGTCCCAAATACAACACTTTGTCTTTCTCTTCAAGGCACTTTCATTTATCATTTGATCTTTAAGAGAATTCTGAGGGCAGGCAGGGAGTGATTGGAGCCAACCCCAAGTCTGGAGATGGAGAGTTTTCTTATTCAGGACCGAGAATGGAGGGAGGCGAGTGCGAAGGACAGCGTGCAAAAGGTAAGGTAAGGATGCGCTCAGTGGGCACTCGCACGACCTGAGAGTCACTGCCCCTTACACTTCGCGCCTCAGCAGCCTGGCTCACCTCACCATAGTTCCGGCCCTGGTTTTCACTGTCACCACTTCCTCAACATCCCCCCAAAGCCGTCGCAAGCTCAGCCCGCGTCTCTGACCCTCTCCGTTACACACCCCGAGGTACACCTGTGTCCACCTCGCTAAGGGGTCCAGCAGGTGCCGCCGCCCACCCGCGCCCTCTCTGCGCTAGGCTCCCGCCCACCGGCCCACCCCGCCCTCCAACGGGATTACCCGTCCCGTGGCCCGCCCCCGCCGCTCCTCCTCCCAGACACACACCCCTCCCGGGCCTCGGACGTGGTCCTCGCTCGCGCCGGGTCACCCCCGTCCCTTCAGACCTCAGAAAGGGGAGGGGCGCCCCGCTACCGCGGGACCGACAGGTAGTGTATCCCTCGGTTTCCTCCCAATTCCCAGATCCCTTCGCCGGTCCTTCCTGAAGGTCGGGAAGGCCATGTGCCGAGGCCCAGCCCCACCGCCCAGCCCGGGCTTGTTTACTCACTCACCCTCCATCCCGAGCCGCAGGGACCCGCCGCTAGGACGCCTGCGCGCCGCGGCCCGCCCCCGCGCCCTGGCCCCGCCCCGCGCGTGCGCATTGAGTGGGTGGAGCACCTGGGCTTCCTTCTTCGCCAATCTGCTGTTCAGCTGTTGGTGGCTCTGACTTCGGCGACCAAGGTGATGCAACCGAGGCCTGACAGTTTCCAAGCTGGCGCTGTCAGGGGAGAAGAGAGGCTGTGGAGAAACCTTACTAAAGTCACTTATACCTTCTTGAAGTCTTTATCCAGCGGCACACCATCCCCACATGCTGGTGACAAGCCACGTTCTCACTTCTGCGTTTGAGGCCAATCTAGAAGCCCTTCAAACTGACGTTTCACACTTACTAATACCCAAAACACCCTTGCAGAAAAGGCTTTGAGTTTTTGCTTTATTTACACCTGATTACATTATTTTTGTCAATGGTTCTTCCATTCACTGTGTGTGTGTGTGTGTGTAACTGGGGCTTAAACTCAGGGTTTGAGCCACTCCACCAGCCCTATTTTTGTGAAGGGTCGAGATAGGGTCTCTCGAACTATTTACCCGGGCTGGCTTTAAACCGGGATCCTCCTAATCTCAGTCTCCTGATTATTATATCTATAATCCACCGACGCCCAGCTTCCAGTCACTTAAATGAAAACAATAATCTTGTATCAAAATGCCTCCCCGAAAGATATTTATTCGTTACAAAAGGGGAAAAAGTAACTTTACAGGTGAGGAAGATCACTAGTGACGAGATATACTTAGTACATACTCTCAATATGATGCAATGTTGAAGGGCACGAAATCATCCTGTAAATCCTTGACAAAAATGCATAAACTGAATTCACTCATGAGGAAGCATCAGACAAATCGAAAATCTTGCAAGCTGCAAGAAAACTGACCAGTGTCTTCAAAAGTGTCAAGGTCATGAAAGACAAAGGACAAAGAAATGTCTAAGACCGGAAGAGACTAAAGAGACATGATGACAAGTAAATGTCATATGTGATCCTGGATTGAATCTCAGTCCAGTAAAAGGACATTAGTGAAAAGATCTGTAGATTGGTTAATAGTATTTTATCAATCTTAATTTCTGGTATTGATCATTTACTTGAAGTTGGATGAAGTTGTATACAGGAACTCTGTACCATATTTGCAACTATTTTGTAAATCTGAAATTTCAAAATATAAAGGTTAAAAAATTAAAATACAAAATAACATTACTTTATTACTTTGCCTTTGTCTCAAACAGAATTTTTCTTTCAAATAATTTTATTTCATTTTTTTTTTTTTTTTTTTTGTACTGGGGATTGAACTGAGGACCTGGAGCAAGCAGTCTACCACTTGAACGCACCCCCAGCCCTATGAAGTAGGTAGGGCAGGTTTCAGTTTTATATACCAGGCTACTCTGGCATAAAAGAGTTAAATGACATCCTTTACACAGATGAAAATTTAAGTCTCTTGGTTCCAGATTTACTATTCTTTTCCTTATGTCAAAAACTTTGACTTTGCTGTTTTCCCTATTTAACTACCAATCAGGGCAAATAATCCTTTATTCTCTACCTGGAATGTCATGCCTTTTCATTTCTGATGCCTTTTAGATAAGTGATTCTCAAACTTGATCACATTGAAATCACCTGGGAAGCCCTACTAGCTAAGAAGGACTGCTTCCTACCCCAAAAAGTCTGTTAAGTTGGTCTAGGGTATGGCCTGGGTTTCAGGAGTTTAAAAGCTCTCAAGTGATTATAACATGTAGTCATAACATGAGTACCATTGCACTGTGCTTATAATTATAGAAAGAAAGTGTTACCATTTTCAGCATGCTGAAAGCATGCTGAAATTTTCCTTTCAGCATGGAAATGATAAAAATGAGACTGAGCCAAAAGTGCAGGAATATAGGCAAGACCTTAATAGAGCTTAGGTTCATGAATAGAAGGGAGCCAGCACTGACCAAGGAGGAGACCAGCTTCTCCCCAAACAAAGGGAGGTATTTGTATTGATTTGCTGGGGTGGGCTAAGGGGGCAGTCATCATCTAGCCTAAAGGACTTCAGGAGCTTAAGTTGCTGCAGTGGCTGAGTAAGCATGAGGATTGGGATAGAAAAAGCAAAAACAAACATGCCATTCTTTTACCTGGTAACAAGCTTGGGGCCCAGGAGTTTGTTTGCTTTCTATCCTCTCATGGTGGTTCCTAGCTGTCCCAAAAGAATGTGGGTTATCTAAGGAGAGACACTCAGAAGATCTGAGTATCAGGATAGAGACTAGTGAGAGATTTGGGAGCCATGAACATATTGTTGGCAAATGAAAGAATGGGAGTGGATAACATTGTCTTAGGTGAGCATGCCAAGGGCTAGAGGTATGGCTCAAGTGGTAGAACACCTGCCTAGCATGTGTGAGATCTTGAGTTCAAACCCCAGTATTGCCAAAAACAATAAACATATATAAGAAAGTATAGTTAAGGCTGGTGGAGTGGCTCAAGTGGTAAGAATGCCTGCCTAGCAAGTGCAAGGCCCTGAGTTCAAACCCCAGTGCCACAAAAAAAAAAAAATAGTATGGTTAAAGAGATATTTTGAGGTGGAAAGGAAGGAAGTTGAAGAGATTATGCTGAAGCTGAGGATGAGTTGCGTAGCCCAAGTCAAGTCCCACCTCTTCATTAAGACTTCTTGCCCCCCTGGACCCTCTAGATGCTTCAACTTTTAGTTCTATCTCTTTTCCACCATAATACTGAGCAAAGGACTAAACACTGAATTTAGTAATCCTCGTTCACTGAAGGATTATAAAAACAGCTTTCCACATCACCAGCAAGTATAGGGTTCTTGGGGAGAAATTTGTTTTGCAGTTTGTTCCTCCTCATTGTGCTGGAAGAGTTGTTGTTTTGGTTTTTTTTTTTTTTTTCTGACACCAGGCTCTTTCTCAACTGACTCTGTTCCATAAGACACAATCAGCCAACCTCTGTTTGACTAGCTTTTCCTCTGCATCTCTTTTTCTTTTCTAATCCTTCAGGTCTTTGTCCTGTAAATTCGTAGAAAAAGTGTTGGCCAGTGGTCAGCAACTGGACCTTTGAAACACAGTACTATCACCCCTGCCCCACTGCTCCCGGCCCCACCCCCCTGCAGTTAATGGGAGAAAGGAATAACTGTGTCACTTTTGGCTTCTTGTTGCTCATCTTGCTTTCAAATTGGAGGCCTCTGGGGCTGTAAGAAACTGGACAAAGTGTGCTAAGTAGTCTAATAGGACTGGTTCTTTTTTCTGAAAGTCCCCTATTACAGAAAAATAAAATTATGTGTTTAATTTCTGAAACCTAATGCCTGATTTGCCTTGGCAGTCATTCTCCCCAGCTTGGCTGAAAGTCTGGCAACACAAGTATACTGATTAATACCAGCTCAACTTGCTCCCTGGAGAAGAACATTATTTACTTGACTATTTTCTTAAATCCTTTTTAATTTGCTTAGATTTTAGCAAAATCTTATTGGCTTTAACATGATGTCTCTCTGACCGCTAGCCCCAGTGAAGCCTGAGGGAAGACTCCCTGCTGTATGCACTCACACCCTCATCACAAAGAAAGATTTTGTTCAACCCAGTGATTAGAAACATGTCACATGTTCTGTTCCTTCTGGGATGAGTGAGTTCTAAGTGTACTTTTATCCTCTGCTGGTCCTCAGGCCATTAGTAGAAAGAGATAGAGATGACGCTTCCCAGAATTCAAACAGGGCTTTCTGTACTGTTCCTGCCTCCCTTCTAACCTGAGTCCCCTTTGGATGGTGACCCCCTTGGCCCATTCTGCCTCTCCTTTGCATAGGCCACAGAGATATCAAATAGCAAATCTTGGAGGGGACACAAAGGACTGAGGAAAGATTGGGCCCTGGACAGTCCCTGACAGGGAAGTATAAACACAGCTGCAGAGATGAGAGCAAACCATGTTCCCTCCTCCAGTTCCCACCCAGAAGCAGGGAAAGGCCACCCTGCCATGAGGAAACAAATAAGAAAACAAAGCAAAATACAACCTAAATGGCTGCATGAAGGTCAGGAGAAACTGGGGCCCTGCCCAGGACTTGGTAAGGGCACTTGAAGTGCCAGACCCCTCCCTGAACACTTAGAGGCAAATGCAGCTCCAAAGCAAGTCGACGTCTGGCCATTATGGAGCTGGAAAAATGGCTCAATTTCTGAAGTCTCTCCACTGCTGGACACTTTGTCCTCTGATCTCAGAAAACCCACTTTCTGCCGTAGGTCCTTAGCTCCTGACCCTTAGTCGCATAGGGATCATAATAATGCATTTGATTCAGCAAGTAAGAACAAGTCCACAATAAACCCTTGTCCATGGCTGTTAGAAGTTTAAACTCTGAGCCACCAAGCCAAAATATGAGACAGGACTTCCTTAGCTTTTGTTAATTACAAAATCAATAATTCCAGCCGGAAGGGACTTTGTCTTTTGGGGATTTCTTGGGTGGGATTCATGCATTGGTTTGCACACACTCTTAAAAGCTCCAACCCCACAGCACAGGATGGTGCTGCCTGTTCTCATTCCGTGAGTTCAGCACAGTTAATGCAGAGCCTTGATCCCTTAGGACACGCCTTTGGCACAGCCCTGCCTGGGAAGTAGCTCTGGTCAGCTGGACAGCTAATGAGCTATGCTTCCTTTCTGGCCATTAGGATACTCAACTGTAAAAGTGAAATGGTAGAACAAGAAAAAAAAATGATAGCAGCCTACAAATACTGAGCACTCCCTATGTGTCTGGGACTGTGCTACATGCTTTACAGGGTTCATTTCATTTTATAGGAAGTCAGGAGTATTCTCCTTATTTTGTAGCTGAGGAAACTAGGGCTTTATGAGATTCTAGAACTTTCCCCACGTTATGCAACTAGTAAGTGGTATGGCCAGGATTTGTGCCCTGTCATTCTGACTCTTCAATCCATGCTCTGAACCACTCCACTATACCTCCTCCCTTTGCCAAAGTCTTCTAGCTCTGACATGATTCTGGATTCTCTCCACGGCTTTCTCTTCTCACCAGTGGTGCCAGAAAGAGAATGTATTTGGGATTCTA